GAGGCAAGACCTTTCTGACTTACGAAGTCTTTCACTTTGGCTAATGGGGTAAGATGTTATTCTCATCCCTGTATGAGCACCACATACTCTTCTCTACAATTCTTTTGTGTAGTTCTTTCCCCAGGCCGGGTAATTTCCTCACACTTATGTATTGATTAGTATGCTGCTGGATCCTTAAAGGAAACCTTCTTGGGTCTCCAGAGTTGTCTTTCTATATAACGCTCTCCAATCTGTTACTTTGTCCCACAAATTCTAACTGCTTTGGTCTCCTTGGACTCTGCTTTGTCTCCTCAAGTTAGGGAATCTACTGAGTTCTACCAGTGTTTTCACTTCCAAAGCTGTAGCCTGGAAACTCTATCAAGGCAGTCAGCTGGGGCAATGTTGAGGCTTACCTGGTTTGTTTCCTGGGTCTACAGAATTGCTGTCCTTGTTTGCCTGATGTCCAATATCTTAAAAACCATGGTTTCATCTGACTTTTTCATTGTTTTAGGCAGAATATTAAATCTGGTTCCTGTTATTTCATTTTTGTCAGAGGGTTTGGCAGAAGTCTTGGTGCTGGGCTCTCAATTCAGCTCTGCAATTACATAGAGCTAAGCCAGCTTTTGACCCCTTCTATGGGAATGCAGTTAAGCACCTCTAATTCTGATTTCTCATCTTCCTACAACCTCCACAGCCACTTGATTCCTAGAGGTTGAATGTGCTCTACTATTGTCTTACAATTTTCTCCCAAGCAGCTGACACTCATTTTGTGAGTTTGCTACTGGCTGTTTGATGTTACCTGTGCAGGCAAAAATAATCTATGTCAAGATTATTGCCTGGGTGAGAGAGAATATAAGATATTACTGATTGTGAGATGCATTCCCATTTCACCTATGTTAAAGCAGGAAAAGTTGTCCCTCTTGGAATCAATGAAATAGGGTATTTTGACAAGAACTTTTTAAATGAGTAGGTATCAAGATGAAGTAGAGGATGGCTCCAAGGTTTCTGGCCTAGGCAAACAGAAGGATGAGGTTCTCCAGATGGGAATGAGGAGGGCATCTTGTTTGGCCCGTCCAGTATATATCTTCCATTGTACAATTACAGATATCATATACTAGGGAGAAAATGGAAAGGCTCAAATGCCCAACTTCTTGTTTTGTGGGATATATTTTAGGATTAATAAAACTGGCATGAAGATGTAAGATATACCATTTAAACCTCCTCAAGATTGGCAGACTATTTTTATATGTAGCCAATTGTATTTTTAAATGGGTTTTTCATTTTTAAAAATAAAATTATGTATCAGCTCCATGGGCATAGAGGGAAGAGTCTTTAAAAACATGAACTTACCAATAGATCTAAAAATAAGATAAACCCAGATATCAGAATAGGAAATTCTGTCTTTGCAAAATATTATTGTCATCACCTTTCTCTGATACAGCAGTGAATCACATGGAATATCCACATGACAAGATTTTTTAATGAATATAAAATGTTCTATATAGAAAGTTGTGGGACATACATATAGGTAGATTTTTTTTTTAATAACTCTTTTAAGTACAATCCTTGGGAACAATTTTCTTGAGAAAGAACATTTGCAACCCATATCTGTGAAATGACAGAATTTATGATTCCCGTGGAAAGTTTGTCCATTACATGGAGGAAGGGGTTATCTGGTATCTGAAGCAGATCATTTAGAATTGTTGATTAATAAGCTAGAAATATGTCCTGAAGATGGCATCATGGTTCAGTCAACAAAGCCAGAACAGATAAGGACAGATGCACTCGATCCTAGAACAGTGTGCCTTTGTAGGAAAGGGTACCCAGAGGAATGTTTAGCACGATGGGAGAGGATTGTGGCCCCTGCCTCACCAGCTATACTAATGGTATTCATCACCAAGGAGGCAGGTGTTGCACCAGATCGCTGCCACATCCTGAGAGATCTTACAACACTCTGTGTACGACATTGTAATAGATGCCAAATAGAAGCATCTTCCAATCCGTCCCAAATCATTGAGGATTTATCGGCAAATGAGACAAGTTTTAATACATAAACAACTCAAAAGTGGCTTTTTATGAACGTGCAGAAAATGAAATTTTTAATTGTTTTTCCTACTTTGTTTTTTGTTAAATTAACAGTAGTGTTCCTTAAAGTATGTTCTAAGATATATTAGCTGATTTTAACAGGTGACACGTAAGAAAGTTTTCCTGGATAAACACCTTAGGTATACACTGGATTAAACAGCGTGAAATGGGTTTCTTTGGTGCAGGGCTCCTAAAAAATGAATGCATGTGCTTTGGGAATTTCATCTGTTGGGTATAGTATGTTATATTTCCCCTGTGTTTTATCTTAGATCCCTTTTTCAGGACCATCTTGTGGGGATGATGCTTTGTTTGTCTTCTTTGTCACTGAATCCCTATTACCTAGCATGGAGCCTGGTAATAAAAGACACTCAAATAATATTTGTGGAATAAAGTAATGAATTTACAGATCACTTAATGACTTGCCAGGGGTCCATCAGCCCTTTTTAGAATAATGTGTAAGAGAAGGCTGAGGCACTTCCTAGCTCTGTGCCATGTGCTGCCAACTGCTGGAGTTTGTACCAGCCTGAGTTTGCTCCGTTTCTCTTAGGTGAGTGCAAGGGGCATCAGAAAATAGTCTTTTACCTGGTCTACTTTCTCCATATGCCCTCCCCCTCAACAACTTTCTAGCAGGTTCTTCTCTTGTTTTGGGGGAGCATGCAAATGTTACCACACCCTGTCTTGTTTAGGGAGCATTCAGATATTACTGCATCAGCCAAAAGCTAGGGTATTAATGCCCCAGTGTGTGGAATGTGAGTCACTTCCCAGCAGAGCAAGGGGGAGGCCACATGAGCTGTGTGTGGGTCAGAAGACTGCTGCTGAGCATGGCAGGGCCAAACAGAAAGCTTCCCTTTTACTTGCACTTTATTTGACCTGTGGGTAAACAAAGACTTTCTATTTCTAGAAAGTCCTATTGTTTTAACTGCTCTGTGTTTCTTTTGCAAACTTAAAAAGTCATGTCTTTATGCAAGAATTTAAAGCTCTGTAGGCCCAGTCTTAACCTTTTTGTTATTGTTATTCCTTTTCTATAGTTACTTTTTTTGTTGTTGTTGTTTGTATATGTCACAAACTCTTAACTCCCTGAAATTCAACAATGTATGACATTAAAAACAGCTATAAGATTTTAGCATAAGTAGAATATTCAACTTTCTAGAGAACTTGGTAATGTAACCTCTGCAGGGAAGGAATTGGGAGCATATAGTTCTTCTTTCTCATTCAACAGGTAATATGCTAGAGGTCTTGGAGAGTTGAAACACAATAAAAAATCAATAAGTCTTTCAGTCCCTGTCCTTCAAGAGATTTGGGATAGAAGGAGGAAAATAATGTTATAGAACACGTGCTGTGTTCCAGGCCGCATTTATATGTCTAGATTCATGTCTATATTTATATCATAACAATAGTATGAGGCAAGTTTTGTTTTCCCTGTTTTATAAACAAGAAAACTGAGGATCAGAGAAGTCAGGTAATTTCTGAGATTCACTGATTTAAACTAAATTCTCCTAAATGTAGGATAATAATATTAAGGTTCAGAGAAATTGAGTCGCAATTGGGATTCTCTTATTTAACTTAAATCCTTCCAATGATAGGATAATAATGTACACCATTAAAAAAATATGTTTGAACAGGCTACGTGCAGTGGCTTACACCTGAGTCCCAGCACGTTGGGAGGCCGACGCAGGTGGATTGCTTGTGCTCAGGAGTTCAAGACCAGCCTGGGCAACATGGTAAAACCATATCTCTACAAAAATACAAAAATTGGCTGTGCATGGTGGTGCTCACCTGTAGTCCCAGCCACTGGGGGTGCTGAAGTGGGAGGATCTCTTGAGCTGAGGAAGCTGAGGCTGCAGTGAGCCGTGATCGTGCCACTGCACTCAAGCCTGAATGAATAAGTGAGACCCTATCTCAAAATAACAACAATAATAATAAATAAAAAGATACGTATGAACAAAGAATCACACAGGGCTTCTGAATATGCTGGTAAGTTTTTAAAACCCCGCCTTTCTCTTATCTTCTGGAGTACCTTCCTATCCATTTGATCTTGGACTATGCATTATACTTCCCAGAGACTTCATTTCTTCATTGGAAAATCCTCTGTGCCTATGTCAGAAGTTTTTGGTAAGGGAGTAAATAGTATAATTTAGGTGAAAGTGAAACTCTGCAGTGTCATATAAAGATAAGATACTGTCATTACAAATGTAGTTCTAAATAAGAATGCCTATGATAGTTTGAGATGCATGTAATATAGCTCTAATTTTTTTTAATGTCTGCTTCTAATGACATTTAAGCTCAATTTATAAATGGAGTGAAAAGAAATCCATTATAAAGTGATCTGTGGTTCAGTCAATTTTTAAAAAATATTTTAAAATAGAGTGTGTGTAGAGAAATGTTAAGAAACATTTATGGGGTACTCACTACATATAGTATTAGGGATAGATATTGTGAAGGATATTTAAGAATTAGAAGGCATGATTTCCACCCCTGGAGTGTTCAGAAAGTGCAAGTATATCTTCCCCTCCTCTTATCTGTTCTACTCATCCTATACTCTGCTGGAGAGAAGTCCAGATTTTGATATAATAAATTCATCCTTTGAACATTAGAATTTATTTTTATGTTTTAATTCAACACAAGTGTTTCTGATCATATAAGACCAGATTTAAAATCAAAAGTGAAAACTTATAAATCAGTTTTTCAATATATTAAAATTCCTATTTTTTAAAAAGGCCAAATCCTCCAGGAATTAACTAGTAACTAGCATCTTTGTCATATTTTAGTTTGAGGAAATTTGGAAATGTTGATTTCTAAATATTGGCCTTCACATTTCAAACACTTAAAAAACTGTCATTTTTAAAGGTATGTAAGTCAGTGCCTTTATTTAGAAGGCAATCAATAATCTTGTGTCAAGTGACATGCTTTTGGAACTTTGCTTTGTTTCTCTCTAGTGGATGATACTGTGGTTGCAATTCCCTATGGAAGCAGACATATTCGCCTTGTCTTAAAAGGTCCTGATCACTTGTGTAAGTAACTCTGTTGTTTTCCTTTGGGGATTGGGAATTGTCGTCATTATTATTTATTTTGTGTTCCCAGAAAAGATTAAAACACAATAATATAAATCTTTCTACTCTATCATAATATGATATTTTGAGTGCTTCTGTTTATCTTTTAGCTGCCTGATGAGATGGCAGAAACCTCTGTGGTAATTATCTCTAACCACAGTTATCCTGAGAAACACAAAATAGATGCTCCCAAAGGGTTGTTCATGGGTTAAGCACATGTTCATGTTCTTGGGATTATTAGATCTCATTCTCTCTCTTCTTCCTTTCCAATCTCAATCTTTTTTTTTTTGGCTTCCCTCTTCTTTTTTCTTTCTAGCCCTCCCTCTCTCTCCTTCATTCTTTCTCTTTTTTTACCTACTCTCATGTTTCATTACTTCATCGATCCAGAGGAACAGGGAAACACCGAACAACCTTAACACTGTATCATTTAAAGAAAACCATCATGGTAAAATTAAGCATCCCATGCATTAAAGAAAATCCAGGCCCTCATATCTTAAAGATAGCCACTGGGATTCAGGACTGAATGGTTATCATAACCCCAAAGATCAAATGGCCGCAGGGCACCTCCAGGGTTTGTGCAAGAATTGATCTTCAGTCATGCCAAGACAGCAGTACAGAGCCACCTCTTTCTTATTATTTAGTGTTGTTTAGATATAGACCCATAAATTACAAGAAGAAAATTATAGGCTATAAACAAAGAAAAGGATGGGAGATGATATGGTAGCATTTTCTGTAAAATTCAGTTCCACTGAAGGCTTCACTACAGTTGGTTCCTTGAGCATTTCTGATCTCCTCGACTGTGATTGTTCCTGGTTTTCCACAAAGCCATCTATCATCTGTCCTTTCTACCCTCTCACGCAAATGCTTGTGAAACCAAATTTAGATAGCAAGCATCACTTTTTACCAATGGGATTATGAATGAAATCATGCTAAAAAGGCAAACACGAGGAAGACAAATTGAAGCTCATAAAAGTCAATAGAGCCTACTTTAGTGTTTCTAAAAATAAAAATAAACACATTTAATGGAAGAGGTGGGATTTGAAAGGTCATGTGAAGTAAAGGAATAAGTGAGGTACAGTTCAGGCAAAACCAAAAAATGCTGATAAGTCACCTTCTATGGATTCAAGTTTTTTTCTAATCCTGAACAGCCCTGTAAAATATAGTATTCACATGTCAAAAGATAACATATGTAGGTGTATTATTACCATTCAAATGATTCATTATTCCCCATTTGAGAATTGGAGAGGGCTCACTTCTGATGTAACAACCCCACTCAATAACAGTACTTTTGTGAGCAGTGATGGATACTGAAATAAAATATTCAGGCCAAGATTATCACCAGTGGGGGACTGACTCTTCATTGCAGAAGAAAGAACCCATAGGAATAGATTTAAGAGATAAATTTATTTTTATAAATGTGTTGGTCTCCTAGATTTCCTAATTATGTGATCACAAAGAAGCTGAAGAATTGGCCTTGTTTGATTTAATTATCCTAAGGATTTGATGAAAGCAAAACTGGAATCTGCTTTTCTGTCCCAACAAACGTACTGCTGGTAGCATATGTACAGCTAAATCATTTTTTCTTGTGTGTTCTTTTTCTTGTATTTGATGTACAATTCAGCAAAATGAATGTGGGGGTAAGGATACCCTGTTTCTCTTGCAGTTCTTTTGCCCTTCACTCCCAGAAGCTGGTACAGTATGAAACCAACCTTAAATATTTTGGACCAAACCAGAATAAGATGAGGCGATCTAGTCTACCCCCATGGTTAATCTTTAATCTTTAATTAGGACAGCTGCAAGTCTCTTGATAAAATGGAAGCAGATGCTCAGATCAGGCCTACACCTGCAGGATTTTTCTAAAACTAAGTTAATTCATGTTCTAGAAAGGGTTCTACAACTGCCGGTGGGGAAGTTTGAGGAATAAAGGCTGGAGGAAGGAAATTCAGGGCAGTTGCTTTCCCTTGATGATAACAACTGTGATTTCCTCACTCCGGTATTCCCTTGATGTGCCCTATATTCTTCAGTGGGATCTCCTCTGCACTGAGGTAGGGGAGGGAAGCCTGGCCTACTCTGGAAAAAGCGTTCGACAGACTTTATCTGAGAGTCACTGGGCATTTCATTGAACACCAAGATTTTCCAGATGTTGGTATTCCCTGCAGTAGACAACTACAAGCAGACCACCTCTACAACAATGTAATACAGATAGCTTTAGTACTTGAGTACCTTCAGAGACCTTAAAATTGTTTTAACCCAGAACCCCACCCAAGCACTACATTTTTCTGCTGAAGTATCTCTGCTGAAACCAAACGTTCTTGTCAAGTTTTAGAAACCATTTGCCTTAGTCCATCTACCTTTCTTCATGCAACACAACAGACAGTTGTTCTAAATCACCCCTCAGTCACATGAGAACTTAGTCTTCTCTGAATCACACGTCATAATTACCATCATCCCCAGCATGCTCTGATTTTCTACCACAAAACATGCTTCATAGGCTTTGTCATTGGCCAAATCTGGATGTGAATGCTCCAGAAATAAAGGGTTTTTTTTTTTCTATCTTAAGCACTTACAAAATACTCTATATGTGCATAAAGCCGAATTGTGTCAAAATGGATTTTAAAAAGAGAGGATACTGAAAATGACAGCTCCTGTTCTTAAGTCACTATTGTTTCTTCATTTTGCACAATAGCACCAGTGCCGTAAGTAACCAGAAAGTATAAGTAAACACAGGTTAATGCATGAATATAAAGTCATATAGGTACTGAAGTAACTCAGAGATGCACCTGAGTCTTCTAGAGCAAAAAGAAATCTGGAGGGTATCCTAGGCTGAGGGCCTTCAAGACTGAAGTCAAAAAGATACGTATGAGAACTGGTTTAGTCAGAGGAATAGGGTTGCAGTAAATAAGGTCATCTGGCGAGTCAAAGATTTTTTTCTGACAGGGACCCTTGAATGCTTGGCTAATGAGTTTTAAAATAATTTCATTTGCAGCGTAAATTCCTATGTGACTCAGCAGTGCCTGTAAATTTTGTTGATATCACAATTTCAATTTTGTCAGCTATATAAAGAAGGATGTCCCCCTTACCTACCTCTAAACGTTGCTGCATGAATGTGCTTGCCTGTGGTTGCCCCAAGAACATCTTTCTCTCATCTTCATGTGTTTGATTATGCAGATCTGGAAACCAAAAGCCTCCAGGGGGCTAAAGGTGAAAACAGTCTCAGCTCCACAGGAACTTTTCTTGTTGACAATTCTAGTGTGGACTTCCAGAAATTTCCAGATAAAGAAATACTGAGAATGGCTGGACCACTTACAGCAGATTTCATTATCAAGGTGAGCCCAATTTAGACACCTCCTTTGCAAGCCACATCCAAACTGATGTTACTTATAATTTCCTGAGCAGAGAGAGACTTTAGGTTCTGACATATGTTTGGAAAGCCTGTGTGTTACCCAGGAAATGTTTAATCTGAGGGTGTTGAGCTAGCTGCATCCTGGACTTTATGAGAACATATGATATTTTAAGGTCATAGGAAATCTTTACTATATGATTAATAAAATATTATGTAATAATAAAATAACCCCACCTAAGAAGCCAATGTGTCATAAGTTGGTGGCTACAGATTGTTTTTAAAAGAGTTAAGATACAGTTGTCAGCTTATATAGGCTATCTTCAGTAAAAGAGAAATACAGACCGATGATCCACAGACTTGGTCAACTCATCATGCTTCCAATGGCAAGTTCTGTTTTCTTTTGTACTGGCAAGAAAACTAAGTTGTTTCCTTCTATCAGGGCCTCCCTACTCTTCAAGGTAATACAAAACACATTGCTGGAAGCAACGTGCACGTTCTGCTGGAAAAATGCACACACTAGAAGAACATTTGGGAATCACAATAAAATAAAACATATTTTTTCCTTCAGTAGGTCAGGAGGACCTGAAGGATTTCAGCTGTAAAGCTGTAAAACTTGTAATGTATCCAGGACTCCATAAATTTTTCATCATGGGACCTGGAGCCAGAGGACATTTGATTTAAGCTAAAGCTTGATAGCCCCATGGCAGCTGGAAGTAAGAGTGCATCTAAGAAAACGCGATAGGCAGTGAGGTTGGAGGGAGAAAGGTTCCAGAATACTGTCCTCCGTTTCCATCTGCATGGTAGTTCTTTTTAATCCAGTCCAGACGCCAGCCACATGAACGTGAGCAAGAAGCTACAAGCCATCAGAGGTAGCTCACGATAGAAATGATGCTGTAGGTAGTTAAATGATTTCCGTTAAGCGAGAAAATCCAGTAAAGAAGTGAAAGATGTCTTTATTCTTTGAAGCCCCTGGAGTACCATTAAATAGAACATATATACTATAGTAATTTCCCTAGTGGCCTTGTCAGAGTTAATGCACATGCTGAAATTATAGAACTGGATTCAAGCAATATCACATTGGAACAGCTCACATCATTGTCAAGTGTGTTACATCTGTCCAGTTGCCTTCTGCACCTCACCACTTGGATAACCCAGAGACACCAGCCTGACACGCCTAAGTTAAACTTGTCTAGCCTCAGAAACCTACTTTATCATCTTTATTTTTTAAATCTTGCAAATACACTGTCTACCCAGATAAGTCAGAAACCTTTGATTCACCCTGTTTTTCCCTTCTATATGCCACCAGTCAGACTTCATCCAAACTGTGTCTCAAGATTGGTCTTTCTTCTCCATCCTTCTCCTTCTCCTACTGTTAGTGCAGGCCTGTACATTTTCTTATCTGAACTAGTACCATGGACTCTGATTTCCCAGCCTCTGATTTCATTGCCTATATTACCTTCAGAGTGCATTTTGTAAATCCCCTTTTTCTAATCTTTCATAACCCCTCACCATCATTCATTGCCTCTAGGTTAGATCCATAGCGCAGCATCTGTTATTCTCGCTGAGCTTGATTGTGCCCACCTTTCCAACCTCACCTTTGACTTTTCCCCTTTTGTTTCAGCCCTGAATGATGGGCAGGTCCCCCAGCACCTTATAGTCTCATAACCCATTACCTTTGCATGATGCTGTGCCTTCTACCTGGAGTGCTCTTATCTTGTCATCTTCCATTCTCTTCACTGCCTCTTATTTTTCCTTGAAGACCTCCTTCTAGGAATATTCTGTGATTCTACCCCAAATTTCTATCTATATCTCCCCACCTCTGTATTCCTTGAGGGAAGACCTGAATTGTATTTGTCTTCCTATCTCCGTAAGAAGAACCTAATAAGCACTAACAAGTGCTGGATGAATAAAGAATTTTTGCCACACATCAATTGTTTAAGTAGAGCAGATGCTGACATCTCTATTACACCCACAAGGACACTTTGCTTCAGGAGAGCTGAGTGACTTTCCTGAGTTCACAATGATGGGAAGCCAGGAGTAAAAATCACATCTCTTTACTTTTGGTCCAGAATGCTTTTAATAGTCTGTGTTGCTTCTAAGAGTACATATCTTTATCTTCGATGCTTCATTAGAAAATACTGGGAATCAAATAAATGTAAAGTTATTCTAAGATAGATTATGTAATTCTTAAAGTTAATTTGCTTAAACTTTAAAATGAGCCAGGTAATTTAATAATATTTAGAAAAAAATAAGAAAATTATCTTTTTTCCTAGTACTTCATAATGAAACAACTTTCTCTTCCCTAATTTTCCTCAGGGAAATAGCCAAAAATAAGATATTACTATTGATTAGTTATCATTTTTCATGATGTGTTACAGTTATACATATCACATGAACTAAACTTTCAGTAGCATTCAAAGTATAGTCTCTTTTGCATTATGTATATAATACATATATACAGTTGATTAATCAAATCCTCTTTATGGATATAAATGGCCACGTCCCCAAGTCTCAAAACAATTTCACCCTGATAAACATTATTATAAACACTGAAGTCCATCTTCACAATCAGCAAAATAGCATCATCCTTGAGATAAGGTCATTACTCTGGTGATCTGGTGGTATGGTCAGGTGATTCAGAAAGTGAAATAAACCAAACATATAGCAGAAAGCCATCAGTGTGGTGCTTACGTAGAGGCCATGAGTATGTGTCTTCACAGAGAGCTGTGCAACAGCTTTTTGAAGATTTTTTTTAAAAGGCATGGCAAAGTTTTATTTTTGAGATGTGGGCATGTCTTTTAAAACAGTCTAATTGAAATAAGTTCTCTTTTATTGTTTATTAATTTTTAATTGACAAGTAAAAATTGTACATATTCATCATATCCAACATGTTTTCAAACATGCATACTTTGTGGAACAGCTGAACTGAGCTAATTAACTTACGTATCGCTTCACATATTTATCAGTTTCTTACGTGGAAGACACTTAAAATCTATCTCTTGGCAATTTCCACAAATGCAATACATTGTTATTAACTGTAGCCACCATGTTGTAGGTAGATCTCTTGAAATTATTCCTCCTAACTGAAGTTTTATATCCTTCGACCAACATTTCCCCCACAATTCACACCCACCCCGACCCCTCAGCAGCCAGCATTCTACTCTGTGTTTCTATTAGGTCAATTGTTTTAGATTGGACATAGAAGTATTATTAATATCACGCAGTATTTGTCCTTCTGGGCCTAGTTTATTTCATTTAACGTAATGTTCTCCAGGTTCATCCACATTGTCAAATGACAGGTTTTTCTTCTTTTTTAAGGCTGAATAGTATTCCATTGTGCATATATACTACATTTTGTTTATCTGTTGATGAACACCTAGGTTGATTTCACATCTTGGCTATTGTACTAGTGCTACATGGAACATGAGAGTGCAGATATCTCTTCAACATACTGATTTCATTTCTTTTGAATATATATCAAGGAATGAGATTGCTGTATCATATGGTAGTTCTATTTTTCAAATTTTTTAAAGAAATGTTTATACTATTTTATACAATGGCTGAATCAATTTACATTCTTACCCATAGTATCCAAGGGGTTCCTTTTCTCTACATCCTTGCCAACACTTATCTTTAGTCTTTTTGATTACAGAAATTCTATCAGGTGTAAGGTGATAGATATTATAGTATTTGTTGCCTTTCCCTGATGATTAATGATGTTGAGCATTTTTAAATATACCTGTTGACCATTTGTTTGCCCTCTTTTGAGAAAAATCTATTCAGATCCTTTGTTCATCTTTCAATCAGATTTTTTTCTTGCTATTGAGTTGTTTGAGGTTCTTATATATTTTGGATGTTAACCCCTTATCACGTGTGTGATTTGCAAATTTTTTTTCCATTCTCTAGATTGTCTCTTCACTCTGTTGATTGTTTCCTTTGCTGTGCAGAAGCTTTTTAGTTTGATGTAATAATCAAAACAACATGGTACCAGTCTAAAACCAGACACATAGACCAATGAAACAGAAGAAAGCCCAACTGTAGCCCAGCACAGGTATTCTAAGCACATTTAAGGTAGATGTGGAGAAGCTGGGTTGTTTGGTAGGTGAGATGTATTAAATGCATTTTCAACTTATAACATTTTCAACTTATGATGGGTTTATTGGGATATAACCCCACTGTAAGTTGAGGAGCATCTCTAATCAATTCCTTTATCTACTGGAAGCTGAGCTTTGGTAAACGTTTGATCCCAGGTTGGTTTCGCCCTGACACCCAGCCTGTTTCTAGACAACCTCCCCATTTCAGCCAACCCATGCTCATTAAAGGGAAAACCATTGTCCTATGCCATGTGTTCTTGAGAGAAAAAGTTTAAGTCAACTGCAGGAAAGAAAATAAGTGAAAAGTAAGTGGTGGTTCATTTTCCTACCCAACTTTTACAGGGAGTGACTCTGCCAATAAATATGCCTCTTTTGCTGACTGATGCCAAGAGTTTAGAACTGAGCTAATTAGAATATACTGCATTTCTCATTGGATTTCACACATTGTTTTGCCAATCACACAGCGAGGTTTAGGATGCAGGGACAGAGAACTGGTTCCTCATCTTTCTTTCACTCCTGAGAGTTGCAGATTCCTGCCCAATCCTGCCTCACTCCCTACCACCTCCAAACCAAGCTCGGCTCTGGTCACTGGTTTCCTGTCCTCCCTCTTCCCCATCTGACCACTGGGACAGTCCTCAAGTAGGCTGTAGTCTGCTTTGCCACTTAGCATCTCCTTCTTGTCAAATCTTTGCCACCATCTTTGTTCTTTAGACAACATTATACCTGTTGTTTCCAGAGAAGCATCTCTGATCTACTGCCCTACTCAAGGGCTGTGGGCAGCATTAATCATAACCCTGAGCTGGGTAGGCTGAGCACAGTGGCTCATGCCTAGAATCCAGAACTCCAGGGAGCTGAGGCAGGATTGCTTGAGACCAGGAGTTTGAGACTAGCCTGGGCAATTTAGTAAGACCTCATCTCTATTAAAAAGAAAAAAAAAAAATCTGAGCTAGGAGCCTATGGGCTGAACTGCACTATTTTCTAATATGGAGGTCTGGAGTTCTAGAAAGACTAGAAAACTCTACAAAAAGTGTAAAGGTAAAGTTGGGTACTAACATTTTTTAAAATTACTTTTAATCTGTTAATGCCTAATCTTAGCATTTCCAACTCTTAAAATTATCAGGCTTGTTATCTGTGAGTAATAGTACTATTATGGCTTTTGTTTACATATATGTTTTTATTTACATAATCAAAAAATATATCACAGAAATTAAAAGAAAGCTAAAGAGATGTAGAAAGGGGGATTCTAACTAAATATAGATCCTAGGGATTGGGATTCCTACACATATTTGAAGACAAGAGTGTTGAAATTAAGTTGTGTATAATTTGTACATATATAAAGGCATTTAAAAAAACTGAAAAAAATTATCAGGTATTTTAAACAACGAGATGACTGCCTCTGTTGCATAGTAAGTAGCATTTTGGCAAGCCCCCTTCACTGTACTATCCTGCCTAAAAAGACAGCCTTCCAAGGAGGGTAGAAGGTACTCTTGGGGCTAGGCGTGGTGGCTTATGTCTGTAATCCCAACACTTTGCGAGGCTGAGGTGGGTGGATCACCTGAGGCCAGGAGTTTGAGACCTACCTGGCCAACATGGAAAAACCCTGTCTCTATTAAAAATATAAAAAATTAGCCAGGCATGGTGGTGGGTACCTGTAATCCCAGATACTCAGGAGGTTGAGGCAAGAGAATCACTTGAGGAGGCTGGGCGCAGTGGCTCACGCCTGTAATCCCAGCACTTTGGGAGGCCGAGGCGGGAGGATCACGAGGTCAAGAGATCAAGACCATCCTGGCCAACATGGTGAAACCCTGTCTCTACTAAAAATACAAAAATTAGCTGGGTGTGGTGGTGCACCTGTAGTCCTAGCTACTCGGGAGGCTGAGGCAGGAGAATTACGTGAACCCAGGAGGCAGAGGTTGCAGTGAGCCAAGATGGTGCCACTGCACTCCAGCCTGGTGCCTGGCAACAGAGTGAGGCTCTGTCAAAAAAAAAAAAAAAAAAAAAGAATCGCTTGAATCCCAAGCGGCGGAGGTTGCAGTGCGCCGAGATCGCACCACTGCACTCCAGCCTGGGCGACACTCCCTCTCAAAAAAAAAAAAAGTGCTCTTGGATAAACATTGTTTTGTAATAGTTTCCTTTTTGAATTTTACCATTTGATGATAAAATCAAGTGATCAGCAACATCTTCAAGGAAACTGCTGGCAGATGTATATAAAAAGGTAATGACTCATCAAAGAATTTATCACAAATAATAGTTTGAAATTCCAAAAGTAACTGAAAGGTATATAATTCAATTGTTTGTTCATTCATGCATTCATTTATTCAGCCATTGTTTGGATACCTACTAGTGCCAGACATTGTAGATGATGCTGAAGAGTGATGAGCAGGATAAATGTACCTGCCTTCATGGAGTTTACAGAATATGAAGGAGAAAGATGATACGATAATAATTATTTTAAAATTAGGTATTTATAGATCTATAACTGCTATAAGGAAGATATTATTATTGTATATCTTTGCAAGCCCATAACAAAAGCATTTTAAAGTAGTCTTAACAGCAGTTCCTGCATTGACAGTGTCACTGTTAACTACCAGAACAGCCCAAAACTAAGTCTTTTGGACTGACACGTTTAATAAACAGATTTATCAGTTTTGCATGTTATTGTCTCCCTAGCAGACATACTGATGTATATTCACAATTTCCGAGCTCTCCAAAGTCATGACATCCCTGTCGCCCTGAGAGCAGTGTGAACAAGTCCTATGACACTGCGGATGCCAGCTCAGAGGTGCACAGTAGTGGCTCACCTGTGGCTTCCTTTTACCTGCCTGTCCACATCAGAGCAGCGACTGAACAGCTAAGGCAGGTTGGGGGGGACCTGTGACTGCCAGCCCGCTTGCTGGCCCATCTGAAGCAACGGTTTCTACATCAGTAAGAGAAAGAAACTTAAGGAAAATCCCAAAGCTCACAGCCTTTTCCCAATGAAAAAGGAAAAGGTGTTTTCATAGTGCTTTATCTAGAAAAGCCTTTGTGTGCCTAACGATGTCTTCATGCGTTTATAATTTCTCCTTGATTCCTTTATTTTACATGGACTTAAAGCTCAACCATCACCCCACACACACATTTTCATGGCCCTCCAGCTCTATCATGACAGTGCAGTCTACTGTATGGAAAAGTTTTTGTCTTTTACTGTTAGTGAGCGAAATCATTATGTTGAAACATTGTGATTATAGGAAGAAGAACTTGGTTCAAACACTCTTTTTTATTAACATAAGGAGGTCAAAATTACATACACCAGATGTGTTTAGCTCCCTACACAAAATGTGTCAGACTGGAGGTTTCTAGAACAGGGTTTCTCGAGTTTTATCCTCTTCACTTTGGCTGTAAGAAGCTACAATTTTTTCCCTTACTTCCCAGGATTCAGGTTAGCATTCCAAAAAGAACATGCGCAAAAACGAACAAACAAAAACAAACAAAAAAAGCAAAGTAGACAAACAAAAACTGTCGTCTCTTTGAGTCTAAACAAATGCTCTTGTCTTCTATTTTTTCATGAATCTTGTGTTTAAATGAGAGTTCTTTTCTGAAAGCTTTCCAGTGTGATAACCACACATCCCAAGAGAGCTAGAGGCTTTTGCGAGCTAAAAAAAAATAATAATAACTTTCCAAGGAATTTGATTAAGACTACATCCCTAAGCAAGCAATTAGGTACCCTTGTATCTGACACACAGAAATGAGAAATAGAAATCCATAGGCAGTGCCCTTTTTTTTTTTTTTTTTATTAAAGACACTATTACTTCAGCTGTTTTTGTTTTAAAGTAGGGAATGGTATCACTGTTTATTCTAATTAGAAAATACGTGAAACCTCCACAAGGTTCAAAATCCCAGGGTAATATGAGACATTCTGTAGGTTTGGTCTCTGCCTTCTTTCCATCTCTCTCAGGCTTTGTGAGAAACATTTCCATATTCCCATCTAAACTTCAAAAACTGATGTAGAGTTTAGCATCCATCAGTTTTCCTTGGCCCTATTTCTTCAATATTCTTATTTTCCCCCTGCATCCTAGATGTTTAATCCACTTGTTAAATTAAGTAGCACAGAAATAGGGCTATCTTTATAATAATCTGAAGACCAAATCTATCAATTTATCCTAGATTATGAGCAATTAAGAAAATGTAAGACTTAAAAACACTTAACTAAGACTTAGGGCGGGTGGTTCAGTTGGACTCTGATACTTAGTAATTGTTGTAATGCAGAGTAAGAAGTAATCCTCTCAATTGTCCTTAGAACCTCCTTATAATAAATAGTACAAACCTTGCCCAACAGTCTAAATGTTGTATCGTTCTGTCTTCATGACATTGTTGACATAAGGCACTTCTGTTCATTTTGAGTATGTTTTCTCAACCTTGTACTCTTAAGAACCATTAAGGACTTCTTGTTTCACATGTCCCCTGCTTAAAAAAAAAAAATAAGAATACAAAAAAGTTGTACTTTCTGCTAAGCACCAGTTTTTTTTGTTTGTTTATTGTTGTTGTTTTATTGTACTTTAGGTTCTGGGGTACATGTGCAGATGATGTAGGATTGTTGCATAGGTACATACACGGCAAGGTGGTTTGCTGCCTCCATCCCCCGGTAACCTATATCTGGCATTTCTCCCCATGTTATATCTCCCCGACCTCCCCACCCTCCCACAGTCCCTCCCATAGTCCCACCCCACAACAGACCCTGGTGTGTGATACTCCCCTCCCTGTGTCCATGTGTTCTCATTGTTCGACACCCACCTATGAGTGAGAACATGCAGTGTTTGATTTTTTGTTCTTGTGTCAGTCTGCTGAGGATGATGATTCCCAGATTCATCCAAGTCCCTACAAAGGACACGAACTCATTTTTTTATGGCTGCATAATATTCCATGGTGTATATGTGCCACATTTTCCTTGTCCAGTCTATCATCGATGGGCATTTGGGTTGGTCTTTGCTATTGTAAACAGAAGCACCAGTTTTATTTAAAAGTAAATAAATTGTTTTTAAGTAATTGCTTGTACAATATAAATTGGTGTTTTTCAGTTTGATTCTTAAACTGTCAACATTTGAATTACCTAGATCTCTGGGCATGGGCCCAGGAATTTGCATTTTAGCAAGTGTCTGGTTGGTAACTTTGCACACTCAAATATGTGAATCACTAAATTGACCAGAAGCCCAATATATGTCTCTGAACGGGAAGTGCTATTTAATTCTTCAACTCTTCTTTTTTCTTTGCCAAAACCAGTATCTTTTATTTTCCGCAGTGTATAATTTTCTTAGAACAAATTGTCTATTTCTGAATCTACATTTAAAAATCCACATAATTTATCTATTATACCAAAGAGGTTGGAAATAAAGGAGGGGAAGGGAATATCATCAGAAGATGATAGTGAAATCGCACACTGAGATATTGCTATCCCTGTTCTGTGGCAACAGAACTGAGAAGAAAGTGAGAGCGAAGGCCATGCAAGGGCGGTTCAGCGGTAAAATGGTAGGATACCTGAGACTGCCGTTGCCACTTCTCCCCCGAAGCAGTCCCTCACACAGCCTAAAACCATCCGCAGTACCACGCGCTCTTGCTCAAAGCTGCAAGGGACCGGAAAGCACCCCACCGTCACGTTACTTCCTGTACTTTTCTGTTGGCTCCCGCAGATTCGTAACTCGGGCGCCGCCGACAGCGCAGTCCAGTTCATCTTCTATCAACCCATCATCCACCGATGGAGGGAGACGGATTTCTTTCCTTGCTCAGCAACCTGTGGAGGAGGTAATGGTGTTCACTTAGTCTAGAAACTGTTGGCTTGTGTGAGGAATTTCTTGGGTATTATAGGAATAGAGTAACTTCAGCGTGGAAGAAATTTTGCGTTGTGATGGGCCGGGTGCTTTCTTCAGAACAGGGCGGAATCTCGCAGCCCTCCTGTAAGGCAAATGCCTCCGCCAAGATGCTGAAGACATTTTTGTCTGTAGAATCCCATTAGAGGAAACAGTCTTTACTTCTTTCCTTGATTTTGTAGAAGGCCAGAAGTAGAAATATCCTAATTTGGCAACAGTTTGGTCCTGGAGCAGGCAGGTCCATTCACTTATATAAACGTCTCCTCTGGTTGAGGTAAAGTCACCTATTCAGCAATCACTTAAAGAGTGTTTATCAGGCTTACTTAATTACAGAAAATAGTTTGTTACCAGGGGGGAAAAAAAATCTCTGCATTATAGGCTTAGGCTCAATTATTTTTCAACTCCACCCCATCATCCATGCGTTAAAGGAAATGTCATTTGCTTTATTTATTCATTAAAATGCATCTCTCCTGAAAAGTCATGAAATCAACTCCCTGCCTCTGCTCTATCATATTTGTAACGTGAACAGCATTTTGTGTTACTAGAAAAGGTTTTTTCCCCCATTTTCTGCTCATCATAATTATAGTGTTTGCATCATGTTTGCACTAAATGATTTCCCAATAATTTATTTAGATATTTCCCTGCAGTAGATCATTTAGTTTATTTAACTTTTATACTTGTATAATACAATGAATAACTTAATACCTAGGTATTTTTCTCCTTTCAAATGATTTTCTTGGTATAAATACTCAGGAGTGAGATTGTTAGATCACGGAATTTCAGAATTTTTGTGGCTATTGGCACACATTACCAAATTCTTTCCAGAAGGATAACAACCAGTGTGTGAATATTTTAGATTCATTGCCAACTGAGTCAGTATTTGTGGATTAACATTTTTCTAAGTTTTTCTAATGCAATAGATATAAACTTGCATGTCTATTCTTTTGAAAATTAGCACATTAAGTAAATTCCAGCTCTAGTTTTATGGAAGCCAGTTAATTGGCTGACTTTAAATAGCTAATCCACATAAGCATCACCAGATTAACTTGACAAGATATAAGAAGATGGTACCTGAAAATGTAGGCAAATGATTACCCATAAATTTTTGGAGAACATTGTATGATGTAATTCATCTTTACCTATGTTTTTTTCCACCTACACAATGTAAACAAACCACTGAAAAATGTGGTTCTATGGAGCGAGGTTGAATTTTAGCATAAAAGAAGTCAGTAGAAGTGCCATGAAGTACTTTTACTCAGTTGATAAAAAACTGTCGCTTCAACATTTTAAGCATTTCAATAGAATGTTTCTAGTTCTATCTCTCATGAATAGACAATTGTTTAGCTGGCTCATACCAGTAATCTCAGCACTTTGGGAAGGTGCGCAGGCTCACACCTGTAATCCCAGCACTTTGGGAGGCCAAGGCAGAAGGATGGCTTGAGGCCAGGAGTTCGAGACTAGCCTGGCCAACATGGCAAAACACCGTCTCTACTAAAAATACAAAAATTAGCGGAGTATGGTGTATGGTGATGTGAGCCTGTAATCCCAGCTACTCAGGAGGCTGAGGCTTGACAATCACTTGAAACCAGGAGGCGGAAGTTGCGGTAAGCTGAAATCGCACCACTGCACTCCAGCTTGGGTGACAGAGCAAGACTCTGTCTCAAAAAAAAAAAAAAAAATTGGTTTGTTTAAAAATGAACTTTCAATTGCTTTGATGTTCCATGGGAATATATTATTTTGATATATTTACTAATGACTAGCATGGGAAATAGTTTCAAGGAAAGAACGTAAGGGATTTTTTTTTTCTTTTTAAAAAATGAAAACCATGCTTTGTGAGAAACAGCAATTCAATTATATGCACACATAGAGCTGCTATTAGCGTATAATGTCAGCAACCTTGATAACAGTTTATTATGTAATAAAGACATTGATGTTAGATTCACATGTATCTTACTTCTTTGGGCCTCATTTTCCTCACCTCAAAATGAAGAAGCAGAACTGTCAGTGGCTTTCAGATGTTTCTGGGTTTCAAATCTTACGAAGCCAGGATAAAAGGAAGACTGCTCTGAGTGGAAATGTAAGGGGTATGGAACTCAGCCTTCCTTCTGCTCTATATTGAAATTTGCTGAAGTTTCCGGTTTGAAAATTAGTGAAGAAATAATCTCTAAGTTCTCTTCTCTGTTTCTGGTTCCAGATTCAGCTGGTTGGACATTTTTCTAAGCAAAAATTCCTACTCCAAATACCTGTAACACCTTAGAAAACATGATTATCTGATGATTTGGGTTATTTGCTTCCTTTTTGCTGTAGCCTTTCATTTTATACACGCAGTAACAGCCTTGAAGCAACAGACTTAGCTGACAAATTTTGATTTTGAAAAATAATCATCTCAGATTAATAATTTACTTCTGTTGTTCCGGTGTTTTACTATGTGATAAATTATGTCCCTGGGTAGAAATTATTATCTGAAAAATTATAAAATGATTAGCCTGTTATAAAATTAGATGCTTTTAGAGTACAATTTAATTGAAAAGTGAAAATACATTTACTTATTTAAAATGTCATTTTGCTACTTGATTTTTTTATAAAACAAATATTAGGTAGTAAAAGTGTTCTTATGCATTGCTTTCATTACGTTTCATGCTTTTCATCTTTATAGTCAAATTTTAAAAGGCTCTTCTTTTAGGGTCTTTAATGAACAATTAATTTTTGTGGGTGGTCTGAGAACACAGCCTTAAACCTGGCAATCTGGCTCATAAACATCCTTCTGATTTCCTAAAATCTTTTGCAAGCCCCTTAATGATTTAGATCTTGCTTCCTAATATATATTTAGCAATAACTGCACTCAACCCACCTGCTAGGGATAATGTATTGGCAGATTGATTAGGGTAAGAATGATACAAACAGCCTAATTTTTTAAAAGTCTCTATGTACATTTATTTTTCACTCCAAGAATCTAAATCTTGATTACCACCCTATCAGAAATCCACATGACAATAAAAAGGCAGGTAGGAAAGATAAAACATATGAAGAGAGTTAACTATTACTCAACAATACTTTTTTTTAAGAGAGGCTTCTTTAAACAGTGACAATTTATGGGTGGAGGCTAAGAAATGTTGGCAAGAGACTTTTAAAAGAAAATGACAGAAAATTTTGAATGTAACAAAAATGGAACAGTAATGGGGAGGTATTTTTATGAATTCTGCAGGGAAACAGGATTCATGATGTCTATTGTTGGAATATCAATGGTCCATTTATTCAACTCAACCCACTCAGGTTGAATTTGGGTAAAAATAATGTTTTCAGGTGTTATTTATTGTCAGTGGGACCTTATTCTGTGCTGGTCCCCCACGTGCAAGGGGAGCAATGTGGGATTTATTTTATTTATTTGTTTGGGAGTTTATTCTCCCTTGTGCCCCAGGTACTAAGGAGACAATTGAGCATTCTTGTATAAGATGGTGGGTAAATACTGATGGTCTTTTTTGGATAGAGGATTCTGCATTATATGATTGGATTATACAAAAGTAACAAAAAGAACAGTTCTTACCACAGAGTCTTATTATCTGGCTGAGCTTTTATACAATTCAAGCCTTATTATTATTTAATTATTAAGATTTGAGAGGATTACTTGAGAAAAGCACAGTACTTGAGGTCTGCAAAAATTAATGAGCCTTCCAATTATGTGCCTTTTTTCCTGGAAATGACTGAGGCATTGGGGAATAATTTCCATTGATGTGAGCTGGCCAAAATGCATAAAGAAATATATTGCATTGGCATGTACATTTAAAATTGCCTGGATGGTTTGATACTACAGGTTACCAGCTGACATCGGCTGAGTGCTACGATCTGAGGAGCAACCGCGTGGTTGCTGACCAATACTGTCACTATTATCCAGAGAACATCAAACCCAAACCCAAGCTTCAGGAGTGCAACTTGGATCCTTGTCCAGCCAGGTCAGTCAAATTTACTAGTTCATTTGTCATAAACATAACTCAAGTTCCAAATAAGTTTCTTAAAATGAAATGTTTTAATTAAAAATAAAATGAAATTACACATAAATAAGTGTTGCTGTCCACTGTCCCTTTCTAATCATGTGTTTTTAGTACCCATGCTCCTTGCTCTTGCTGTTATGCAAGGCCATCTCAGAGTCTATAGACTTTGCTTTTATAAAGCAGCAGGTGACGTGCTCTTCAGAATCATTCTCTCTTCTGATTTCCTTTCATCCTGCTTCCTTGTTTCTTTTCTTAGCAAGGTCCAGGCCAATGGACCATTCAACGTTCTTTTTGCTTGTTTGTTTTTGTTTTGTTTTATTTTTGAGATGGAGTCTCCCTCTGTCACCCAGGCTGGAGTGCAGTGGTGTAGTCTTGGCTCACTGCAATCTCCACCTTCTGGCTGAAGCGATTCTCCTGCCTCAGCCCCCCGAGTAGCTGGGATTACAGGTGCCTGCCACCACGCTTGGCTAATTTTTTGTGTATTTAGTAGAGATGGGGTTTCACCACGTTGGTCAGGCTGGTCTCAAACTCCTGACCTCAGTCAATCCACCTTCCTTGGCCTCCCAAAGTGCTGGAATTATAGGCATGAGCCACCATGGCCAGCCAATGTTCTCGACCAATGTGATGGCACAACATTCTCAGGATTTTTTCCATTTTATCTCTGTTCCTGATCAGGGACATGAGCAGAGCAGACCATATTTCAGGGCTACAACTGATCCCTTCTAGCCTGTCCACACTGATTACATAGAGTCAAAACCAACCTTAGAAGAGTTCTACTGCCTTTGAACACACTCAGTCTTTGCTAAAGAGAAAGCAGAACTTATTCTGAGTAATCAGATTCTCAAAAGGTCTTTTAAATTAGAAGCTTTAAATAGGCACTTGACACTTTCACACATGATTATTTGCTTTTTGGAAACCACAGTTAGCCCTCAGATTATTTGCAGGGTCATCTGCCTGATGAATGAAATATCTCAGGTGATGAGTAGTCATGGAAGTTCAGGTCAAGAATCTTTTCATGGGTGTAACGTTTGCCTTTGCAATCACAACACTTGCTGGTGATTCTCTTTAGTATAAAGTAACTTATTCATCTGCAACTTATAAGAGAAAATGTAAGAAAAGCCTCCCCCTACAAAAGCAGTCATGAATACCAAATGATAAAGATTCATTTTCAAACTCCTTGGATTTTTGAGAAACACCTCAATGTTATTTTTTAAAAATCATAGTATGCTAATTATGTATGCATAAAAAAAAAGCTTCAACTCATTAAAATATGACTTGGGCAATGTTGATGTAAATCATTCTATTTTAAGGTTATAAGCAATGCAATTTTAGTTTTTGTTTTCTGCCATTAATTCCTTAAGGAGTATGTTTCTGTACTCTTCTATATTTATATTTATGAATGCTAAGTTCTACATGTGATATGAAATTACTGTTATTAATTAATTCATAGGAACCATATTACCTACCTCATAAAAGTGAACTCAGAATAACAGGTTTTCATTAAAGGAACAAAAAGAATAGATATTTTATAAGTGTAAAATTTGGCAAAGTTTAATTTAGCATCATATTACACCAGAAAATTATATATTAAAAATTGGATACAATATAAAAACTGAATAAGGTGTTGAAATTGTGGTTGGATTTCTTTATTTTGGAAATCTTAAGAGTTTGAAGTTTTTTAGCCAAGACAGTTATAACCCATGCAATTTGATTTCATTTTAAAATTATTCTACTTACCCTTTTTTATGCATACCTGTAATAAGAAGACCAGTGTGGAAAGGCATAGTTATCCTAATTCAGAGAGGTCAAGTCAGCCCTAGAGAGACCTTGAAAGTCTTTTACGCATTTCCATGAAAATTTGTACGTGTATTTCTAGGAGAAATTAGAGCTTCAGTTCCCACAACTTTATAAAGCTTTTTTCCACTAAGAAAAAAATCACCAGTTAAAAGATGGCCATGGAAGGGAGTTGTGTGAAGCAAAAGCGTTTTGTTAACAATTTGAAGGAAGTGTTTACAGTTAGAAGACTTTACTCATTCTTTCTGGCCTCTGGCTTTTACCCACTCTTGTCTGTTGGAGAAACATTTTTGGCCTATTTCTTATTACCCCAAGCAAAAGGCCATGCTACAATAAAAGAAGTCTGCCTGTGCAATTTATGCCTTTTCTATGTCCTGTGTTATTTTTAAACATTTAATACAGCACATGAATAAATGTTGGGACAGGTGGCTATTTAAAAAAACACACGAAGAAAGATAAGTGAGAAAAGGAAAAAGAAAAAATAAGAGGCAAATGTCAGGAAGCTGATTTTTTATTGAAGAAGTAATTAGACAAAGCTGATTTTTTTATTGAAGAAGTAATTAGACAAAACTGAGCAGTAGGAAAGGTCTAAGGGCTAGCTGCTTCAGAAAATGTAAGTATGCTACTCTGAGGTTAAGATACTTCAGGAATTACCATGAAATGCACTGAACTCTTTTGCATACCTAAGAGTATGCAAAGCAACTCTTCTGAATTCTAAGAGAAAATGAGGAGTCATCATCTAAGAAAAGTAAATAGAAGAGACTCTGTAAAATAGATCTGCTCTTCCATCAGACATCGTAGAATCAAACTCTCAGGGAGCTGTTCTCTCACCCAGACTTCATGATCTAATGGTAAAATCAAGAGTGAACAGTTGACATTCAACAACACCTTTGCGTCCAAATTTAGAAATTCCCAAAAGGTAAAACCAACATTCTTGGTATAAAGTCACATATTTTTAATTTCAAAAGAGATGTATTATATCTAGCCCCTGAGATATTTATTCAGTTTTCCTGAATCACACTAGGATTTTTACCTATTATAGCATTTACAAGTAAAGTCCCTTGTAAGAAAAGGGAAGGAAAAAAATAAAATATAAAAAGTAAATTTTCTTAAAGCAAAGTCCCAGTTAGATAGCCTACTTTATTCCCTATCAAAGCTTGCAAGTACCATTGACAGCAAACACCACATCAAATAATTAAGTCTATTACCTTATATTTATTAATTCACCCTTCTGGGCTTCTGTTTTCTCACCGAAGAAATCCTGGAAGAAAGGGCCATTTGTTGTTAAATTAGTGGCTTTCAAAATGTGCCCACAGAACCTGTTGTTCCACAGTTGTTTAAATAAACCTGTAACAATTGCATAAGTGTTGTACGACCAAAGTAAATGCTTTTGCCTTCATCATTAAGTTCCTCGGTTATGTCTAGTTGAAAACATAAGTATCCTAAGATTGCAAGGTAAGCCGTAAAAACACTTTTCATTACCAAACACACTCTGTGATAATAAGAGTTTTCTCATTACTACATATCTAATACCAAAACAAAGAAGAAATAAACTAGATACGGCCACCAGTAGCCATAATCCCTGATAACCACTCATTGTGTTTACCAAACTATCTTCCTTATTCTCATTATTTTGCTTTATAATAAGTAAACATACATTTGAACTAATCAACTAGAACCATAAATATCATCAGCATTGGGTCTATATGTTTTGGTCTTTTACACAATGTAAAACCTCCCAATGACCAGGATGTTTCTAAGTCACTGCATGTGATTGTGTCCACGGCCCCTTCCAACTTCAAACTCCATGACTGTAAATATCAGTCATTATTTTAGTTTCGGGAAGTTTACAACAGCTTTTTAAATACATGAACAACTTCTAGGAATTTTTTCAAATCAATACAGGGAGTGGCATGGAGGGGTCTCAAGAATATCTCACTCCACACATCTATTTTTCGGTTCTTATTTTCTTTTCCTTCTGTTCCCACCATCTTCTTTCTTTGCTTTCCCATCTCATTTTTTGTTCTTCTTTCTTATACTCACTGACAACATCCACTGGCTTCCATCGTGGTCGATTAATTCATCTAGTAGTTCTTGAGACTGAAGAGATTGTTGATATCTTGCCTATACTCTTCAAAATAATTTTTATGTTTTCATGGCTTTTTTGCTGATCCTAAATGCTAACTTAGAAATGTTGATAAAAGACTATAATGAAAACAGTGAAATTCACTAATAATCCCCAGTGCCCGCAGATAACCTCTGTTAATGCTTTTGCTGGATTTCTTTCCAGCCTTGTCTATAACTCATAACATAATTGAGATCATACTTTATACAGTAGATACTTGGAATTGAATAATTTGGCATTCTTGGTTTTCATTCTTTTATAAGCAAGCCTGAATATCCATGACACATAGTAATTCGACCATGCACTGAGGCAGGAATTTCAGTCCACTGGACTATAAGACCAACAATTGAGCCTTGCTGGCTGCCCAGCAGTTTCATCCCAAGAGGGCTTTGTTGCTCTTTGCTGGTGTCATTTGCACAGTCATTTTCCTGAAATATTAAAACACTTTGTTTCCTGGCCAAAAGTGGTCTCAAACAGGGAGCCAAAACCTAATCCTTATAAGGGAAGCGAAGAGAAAGTAAAGTATAAAGCTTTAATGACTTTTAGCTAAAATTAATAAGGATTTTCATTAGTGGCTTAGAGCTATGACATCACTAAGCCCATCATATGTTCTGTACACAGTATATTACATGTTCTACTGGTAGTCCCAACGGGCCTTCCCAGAGACCCAGAGATATACTCCTCCTGCATGTCAGGGATCAGCATGTTTGTTTTCTGCTTCGTACATTTAACAGTATGTTCTGTGTGTTCTCCCATGTGACTAAGACATTTAGAATCTAGTCAAATGCAAAATCCTCTCTTACGCCTACCATGCTATAATCATAGCTTCTGTCTTACACCAGGGGAAATTTTTTTGGAATTTATGCAGTGATGTGTGGCATTTTTACCTCTTGGGTGAAAGGTCAGGTCCATCATGTGGCCAGAAAGCCTCAAAGTATAACTCTGTGGTTCAGCAACAACTAAAAAGCCATGGTATGAATTCAGATGATAAACACCTTGATGTTTTCAAAGCAGTTTTAGATGTAAAATGTGCAATATTTAT